GCCCAAATATCTTTCTCTTTCAGCGTAATTGCTTCACTCTTGTTATTTTGTTAGTCCTTTCATGTTGCTAATCTTTGGATTTTAATTTTAATGATCAATATTTTTTATTAATACTTAATAAAAATATTTTATTTGTAAATTAATTTGTTTATTCTTGAGATTCATTGTTATCGTGATTTGAACCTAATAATGGTGAGTCTGATGAAGATTTTGAAACCATTTTATTGATGACATCTTCAAATTGATTATATTCGTCTGAGGAAGGTGAGGAGAATTCGCTAGAGTCAAAGAGAGATAATGAACCGCCTGAATCACCAACTAAAATACGTTTACCATCATTACTCCAGCAAACACGGTTAACGGATCTATTTGAAATTTTATGACGGAAAATTGGAGCTTCTAAATCTTGATTGAGATCCCAAAGAGAAAGCATACCTGAACCATCACCAGTTGAGAATATTGATGGATGAACTGGTGACCATCTAGCATCATATACATAGTCTACATAATCTTCGAATGAGTATAATGGAGTTTCTTTTTTAGATGACCATAATTTAACAGTCCAATCAGTGGATGAGCTGAGGAAGTATTGTGAAAAATCGATGGAACCTTTAGCAGAATGTAAATCAACTGAAGTAATTGGACCAAAGTGACCTTTATAACGTTCGTTCATAACAATTTTATTACCATGACGTGATGCTTGACAAAGAACACCTTCTTCAGTACCAATATAGAATTGACTCATTTCGTTTTCAGGGAATACCAAGGAGGTAACAGCAATTGAAGATGATCCTGATGATGATACAGTTTTGCTTCCTGATGCTTGTGCATTTAATTCAATAGTTTCTGTTGGTGCTGATAAATTTTCTAAACTCCATGAACAAATTTTGGCATCTGTAGAAATTGAAACTAAACTATTTGCATTGGCACTACCAACTACTGCCATACTATATACTGGATGTGTGTGACCAACACTTGAAAGTGGTGTTTTTTGGACTGGTGTGCTTTTAGCACGAGTATCCCAAATTACAATTTGACCTGAGTATGTACCACCAACAATTAATGTTGAATGGTATTTTGAAAAGAATGTTGTCATAACTGGTGACTAATAGTAATAATAATAAAAATAATAAAAATAAAGTTATTAATTTTAATGTTTACAATACATATGTTAATTTAATTACTTACTTGACAATTAAAAACATATTCTGGTTTTTGGAAATAATTATTTATTGACCAAACTAAAACAACACCATCTGGATCATGTGAACCAGCTTCATTTGCAGAGTATGATGTAACGGCTAATTCTGGGTGTTTAGTTGACCAATTAATATCTGTAACTGATCTATGTTTGGTCCATCTTTCATCTTGTAATGTAGCTAATAATTTAAGTTCTTTTGATAATCCTTTATTGTTTCTAAATAGTTTTTAATTGTATATTAGTATTGATTATTATTTATTATTTAAATATAGGTATACTTACTGATCGGCAACTGTATAATCTACTAAAATATCAATAGATTCATCTAAACATAAAGCTCTTTCAATGACTCTAGATGATTTATCAAAGAAAGACTTGAATGATTCAGAATCCAATATTTTTTGTTTTTCAGATTCGTCTAATTCTGGGATAGTGATTTCTGGTTCTTTAGTTTCCTCAGCAACTTCGGCGCTTGAAGAAGCATCAGCAGAGTCGCTACCTTTGCTAATTGATAAGTTTTGCAAATCTTTATTTAATTGTTGTTCCTGTTGTTGTTGTAATAATTGATATTTTGATTTTGATTTATTTGCAGTTTCTAATTCTGGTGTTGTTGGAATTATATTATTTACATCAAGATCAGCAGTTTGAGTTCCTTTTGAATATAATGTAATTTCTTTTGGTGGGATATCATGTTCTATAACTAAACTTTGGATTGAAAGTTTTGGTTTATAAGCTGGTTTAACTGGTTCAGTTGGTTGTTGAGCTACTGGTGCTGGTGTTGGTACCATTTGATCAATTGAACTCATAATTGAATTAAAATCTTCAGCTGGTGTTGGTGGTGCTGTTGTTGTTGCTGTTGTAGTTGGAGATGTAGTTGAAAAAGATGATACATTTCTTGCTTCATTTTTTCTCTATATAATAATAATAATAATAAAATAATAATAATAATAATAATAATGTTTCTATATTAATATATTATTATAACTTTATTTCCAAATCTACATATATTTATATTTATATTCCTAATTACTTTATATTCTTCGAGCTTCTTTCTCATCTCATTTTTTGTTTGCTCTAATTCTTTTTTTCTTTGATCTCTTTCTGACATTTTATTATTACTATATAATCTTTTTTATTATTTTTCTATCGATATCTTTTAATAATTGTAAAGTTGATTAAATATATTATAAAAATATAATAAAAATACTATATAAAGGCGTATTTATATATGTTGATGTGAGTATTGTTATTATTGCTACAATGAAATAATCGAATTTTGTCGCTGTTGTTTCTTTGTTACACAATTGATTTTTTTTTTTTTGAAGTAATTTAAAAAATTTTAAAATTTTTTTTATTTTTTATTTTTTTTTTTTATATTTTTTTTAATTTTTTTTTTTTTTTCAAATTCAAATAAAAATAGTTTAAACATTATACAAAATTGGATAAAATATCCATATTATTTTTTTTTATCATTAATTATATAAAAATGAACTTTTTAATAATAAATATTTTTAAATTCATTTATTTTGAATAAATTTTTTATTTCTTTATTTTTTAAAAAAATGAAGAATTATAACAATTATTTTGATGACCAAACAAATAATAGTATAAATAATAACATTGTTTCAACAAATACAGTTGTATCAAGTTTATTTACAAGTGTATATACACAAAATAATTTAATAAAAAAAGATTTAACAAATCAAAGTGTTAATATCGATTATATACCAAATAATAATATTACCAATAATGATAATAGTATGAAAAATAATAAAAATAAAGAATTAACTGGTGACAATGAAGAGATAATAGATGAGCAGGATAGTAAAAATAATTGTGGCAATAATAATAATAGAAATAATGGCAGGAATGATAATAATGGTAATAATAAAGATGATATTGATCAAAATAACTATAGTTTTTTTGATTTAAAAACCGAGTTTAGTTTTATAAGAAATAATTTAAACACCTTAGAAACAGAAATTTCAAGAAACCAAAACCAAACATTCATTAAACTAAATGAAAATAATGAAAAACAATTACTGGTAATTATATATGATAGTTAAAGAAAAATAAATAAAAAATTTACTAATTATTTTCATAGGATGAATTGTTTGAGTACAAAAAAGAAAATAAAACTATCAAAGAAAATTTAAATTATAATAATAAAAGATTACTATTGCAAGAAAAGTATTTAGAAGAATATAAATCAAGCTTTAAAAGGGTACAAGAGGAAATCATTCAGATCCAAGAAACTTTATATAATTATAAAGGGCTATGTAAATATATTTTTCTATTGTTTAAAAAATTGATTAATTGGTATTTTAACAATAATAATAATAATAATAATACTTTTATTCTTTTTTATTTAGATAGTAAATGTTCAAATATTCAAGAGGTTTTAGAAAAAAATAGAATTTATGAAAATAAAATTATTAAAGATTTAAGAAAAGAAAATATAGAGCTTAAAGGTGAAATTGATAATTTGGGTAAACAAATAAAAGATTTAGTTGAGCAAAACAAACAGCAATTAGTTTTATTACAAGAAAAAGAACAACAGATTAAAACTATGGATCAATCTTTAGACCATTATATGAATCTATCAACGTTATCAACAAATCGTTCAAATGAAGTAATAAACCAATTAGAAGAGCAAATAAAAAAACAAGTAGATTTTTATAACGATAAAAACAAAGTTTAATAAAGTTTTAATAAAGTTTGGTGGTTTATTATTCATAATTGATTTATTTTTTATTTTTTCTTTAAATGGATTTTAACCTTTTTATTAACCAAAATAGCAATTAGGGTTTTTGTAATATTAAAGGTTTCTTTCGACTGATGAAAGTTTGATTCTCAGTGCCATCCTTACATTCCTATGCATGTGGACATTTGGGCGTTATAATTGGTATATAATATTTAATTATTATTATTTTTTTTCTCTTTTTCTTTTTTGCTACCACCCATACAACCTGGGGATTTGTTTACAGATTGATCCATTTCCCATTTTAAAGGTGTTGTAGAATGAATACTTAAAGCATGAACACCATTTTTAAATTCGTCCTTTAATGTTTCATTTATTGATCTATGTTGCGAAATCATTGTTTTTCCATCAAATTCATTGCTGACTATAATTACTTTAAAATGAGTTTCTGAACCACGTGGTACTGAATGCATATAACTTTCATTTATAACTTCGAGGTGGCTTGGTGTGAATTTGTTTGTTAACTTTTCAACAATCGATTTTTTAATAGGCTCTTCAACAATCGTTGAAAAAAATCTTGATGATAAATGTGTTGAAACAGGTTTAAAATTTTTTAATTTAATAATGCTATACATTTTCCCAAAGAAGTAGTAGTAGCTAAAATAAGTATAAACTACACAAATTAGGTTATTGAAAAAATGATTTTATAATAATTATAAAAAATAAAAAAAAATAAAAAAAAAATATTTTTAAAAAAAAATAAAAAAAATTTTATTTTTTATTTCATTTTATTTTTTAAAAATTAATAAAATTCATTTTCATTTAATTAATTTATAAATAGCAAATAATAATGGATGAAGAAGATACAACATCAGATAAAATGAGCATTGATAACTCAAATAAAGAATCAAACAGATCGAGATCAAGAAAATCAACAATAGCCAGAAATACCAATAAATCAATTTTTAAAAAAAATAATAGAAAAAGTAGTAATGGTGATGGAAATGAATCTTTTGAAGACACAAGTTTTGATGATTCAGAGATTGATGATTTTATAAATAATGAAGAGTATGGCGATAATGTTTATGATATTGAGGAAGAAGATGACGATGACGATGAAACCGATGATAGCGATGACGATGAACTGTATCAAATTTCAAGTGAAGACGAGGCAAATATTACATTACAAGAAGAGGATCTCCAAGAAGACGAATTAATCTTACCCGAAGATACACTTATACTTTTAGAAATTTCAGGCGAAGATCCAGGTTTCCTTTTAGATAAGCAATATAGTTTAATTGTAATATACCAATAACACATTTATTAATATTAAAAAATTTCAAGCTAATAATATATTATAATATTTTTATTTACAGGGTTTAGATACACCAAACCCAATTTTAAAAATTGGTGATATATTTTATAGAGGTCAATATGAAGAGGTTTTTGGTACCCAATTATTTTTTAGAAATGTATCAAAAAAAGTAACAACAAGCAATAATAATATAAATAATTTTACTCAAAACACACAACCACCGGGTTATTCAAGCCAAACCTTAGACTCTACTCAACCTTTGGAGTCAAGTGTAAATACCAATAACGACATTGATAATAATAGCAAAAATGAAAATAATGATGAAAACGACTCAATCGAGTTTAATACTAATAAAGATACCCAGCAAACACAGAATTCCCAACAAACCCAAACACAACAACATACCAACTCTAGATATAAAGAAGTTGAATCACTTGTATATATTAACAAAACCTCAAAAAAAATTATCTTTCACAAAATTGAAGTAGAGAAAAAGAAATTAATCTCCAAACCCTCTCATAATTAAATAAAAATACTAATTATAATATTATTTTATTAAAACTTTTATAAAGAAAAATTATACAAATTGACAAAACTTTATTTTTAAATATAATTGTAATCCTCAAATTCATTATCGACTCTTGTTACTACCAATGTTTGATTGGATTCACTATCTTGACTGATTATTGGGAATGAACTTGAGAGTTGAGGTTGTTCAATAATTGCACTTGCTACATAAGCTTCGACACTATTATTATTACTACCATCATCATTATTATTATCTTTATTATTATTATAATTATTATTATAATTATTATAATTATTATTATTATTATTATTATTATTATTATCATTATTATTATCAAATTGGTTATTGTCTTGATTATTGCTATGATTACTATTAACTAAACTATGATCATTTTCAAAAGTACCTTGATTATATAATGATTCATAATCCGTGCTGCTGCTAATTACTGGGTAATCATCGGAATGATTATGAACACTACCAGAAGTACTATACTCTTTAACAATAAATGGTTTTGTGCCTTGGGCTTCTTGTTGACGAATTGATGTGACACTTGATGATGATGCACTAGAATACGAGTTATATAGTCTACCGAGGAAACTAACACTCATATCTTTAACAGATTTGGTGGTTTCTTGAATATTTAATAATTTATCTTTATAGCTTCTAATACTGTCAAAGAAAGAGAAAGCAAATGAATAAATAGCTGACTTTAAAATATAGTTTAGGTGTTCTGAAGCTTCTTTCTTTGGTACACCAGGAAGGAAACGATGGCCAACTACATCTTCTATATATTGCTCATCTATAAGGCCCTCTACTTTTGGCTCCAATCTAGTTAAAAACAAAATTTGATATAAAAAGAATGCATGGTGCTTTCTTAATTCAAGGAACAAACGGACATTTAAGTCATAAAAATCACTCTTCTTCTTTTCGTTTTCTAAGAACTGTTCTTCAAAACTTCTATCATTTCTTACTACATTGAAAAGCTTTGGGTCCATACCTAAAATGAAACCATAGTCGATATGGAATATTTGACAATCTTCGGTAAACATTACATTTTCATTATGTCTATCACCAACACCCAAAAGATGGGTAATGATATTCCAAGTGGCCAATGAACGAGAGAAATTGGAAAAGTTTATATCGTAAGAACCAGTATCGAATAAGAAATTGCTAATCTTTGGATGTTTGCTTTGGATTTCTTTAAGAGTCTTTGATCCTTTAACTGGCTCGATGAAACCATAATGAACACCAGTTGGAATAACACGGTAAACTACTGGTCTCATGAATGGCTCTCTCTTTTTCCTTGAATCGATAGAAGATTTACATGGGTTTGTAGCTAAAAACTTTTCTTGTTTTTCTTTAACGCGGTTGTTATATTGTACAATAAAATCATCCATTAAATAAATTAAATTGAGAATGATTTGATCTTTTCTTAAATCATCTTTCTTAAAGATTAAACCTCTTTCTTCCTCACCGCCAGTAATATCATTGATACATCTGCATACTAAATATAATGGCTTGGTGGCACTATTAAAGACTAAAGATTTACCAACTAAAAATTCAATAATTGTATAATTTGGATTTGTTGGTAACTTTAATAAATTTCCCTTGCATATATTACTTAATTTTGCATTTAAGAAATTGATGTCTGGTTCATTTCTTCCATCCCTGATTATTGGTCTGTGCTGTTGTAATATATATGACAATTCGAATGAAATTTGAATTGACTTTAATAACTCTGGTGAATTGATTGAAAAGAATTTAATTAACTCTGATTTTAATTCTTCATAACGTAAATCGTGAACACCACCTTGGCAATTCTTTAACTCCCATAAAAGGTTGTAAGCAATAGTTGGGTTCTCTTTAGCTCTAGTAAATAAAAATTCTTGTAAATCTGATTTAACGTTTGGTTCATATCTAAATGTTTAGAATTAAAGTGTTAATTATAACAATATGATAAATTTTAAATAAAAATAATAATAATAATAATAATTACCTTAGTAAAAAAGTTAATTGTGGTAAAACATATAAGAGATTTTCCTTTAAACCATTTAATTTTCTTGTTGCATAGTTTCTAATAAATGGATGGGTAACATTTTTATCTAGCAATGGTAAAATATTTAATGGTGAAATTGAATTTTGACATGAACTTGAACACATTAAAAAGTAACAATTCTTTTTATCATCAATATTTTCACAAAGACATTCATCTAAGCTCTTTAATTGTTTTGTTGTTATTGTACTATAGTCAATTGAGCAAAGTAATTTGAGTAACCACAGTGAATGACATTTAAAATCTGTTCTATTTCTCCAAAGTGCCAATTTTTCGAATGGCAAAAGTTTATGAGTTGGGAATTTGTATTGAATCATTCTAATTTCTGATAAATAGATGATGGATGCTCTTCTCCATTGTGGATAAACACTGGCGAATCTTCTTAAAAGTAAAAATTTTAAACCCAATAACTTTAACATAAAGACACCATTGTTGTGTCGCTGTACACCATGAATTTTATGATAACATGAATTGCAAACTCTTGAAGTTTTATTTGAAACAAAACCATAGATATAATCGTTCATACCGTAATAGATTTGTTTTGAAAGGTCACTTGTTTCTACGAAATTTCCGGCACATGAATTACAAAATATCATACCGCATTCTCTGCAATGGTGTCTATTTAAAACACCCATTTTATTACTACATCCATAACAAGTTGCTGATTTGTGTAATGGTAAAGTTGGTTTTCTTGGATCCAATAATTGAACAATATCAGGGGGATATTGATCTTTTGGATTGCTTGGTGAAGTTGGTTGTTTTTCTTCTAGTTGGAAATTATAATATGACTTGTCAACCATTGAATTGTATAAATAATTTTTGGTTGAAACTATATATGGGTTATGATTTGAAAATGCATTCTCTTTAGCAATAATCTCTTTTTCAGATTGAATAAACTCCTCTCCATAATCACCAAAATATCTTTGAGCTTGCTCTGGTGAGCAGAATTTCTCCAAATTGCTCTCCAAACTTTTTCTGTAAGCCTTGATTAAATAATTATCTATTATATCAAAATATTTTGCCAATAATACCATTTTAATTAGCTTTGGACCATTACCTTCTAGTGATAAGTATGACTTTGTATGAACACTATTCTGTAAACCAGGTTGTGGTGGATCTCTTCCCATAAACAATAATTTTTTATTAACCTTTGATAATTTAAAACTTCCATACCAATTATTGTTTTCATTTGTAAAAGATATTTTTAAAAATGGTGATTCTTTTTTATTATTGTTGTTGTTATTATTTTTATTGGGATCTTGTTGTTGTTGTGATTCATTATATTTGTTATATTGATATTCTTGGAATTTACAAAATTGGTGAAGAGAATTTATAAACTGCAATACAAGTTCGAAATCTTCAAAGGTTGCTTCAATATCTTTTGGTGGTGAAATAATAACAACACTTGTATTTGGATTATTGGTGATTGCTAAATCTACTTCAGTTTGTAATAATATTGAATATTTAATTGCTACTAATGGTGATGGTGTTTTAATTTCGTGTTGTGTACCATTTATTAAAAAATAAATTTTTAAATTTTGTGGTACTGTTAAAACTTTTTTATTATAATGTGCCATAATTTGTGATATTTTATTATTTTTTTTTTTTTTTTTTTATAATCTATTATTTATTTAGTTGATTGCTTTTTTTTTTATAATGTAATTTATCTATAAGTTTACTACTACTTTATTATTACTATTATTATTATTATTATTACTATTACTATTTTTATTATTACTTTGCTGAGATATTTTTTAATGTGGTTTGAAATAAAAAAAATTAAAAAAAAAAAAATTAAAAATAATAAAAAAATAAAAAAATAAATTAAATTAAAAAAAAATAAAAGAAATTATATCGATATATAATGTGTGTTTATTATTATTATTTATACAAATTTTTAAAAAAAAAAGATATTTATAATATTTATTATTATTTGTTTATATTAAATTAATTTTATCATAAAAAAAAAAGGCTATTTAAATAGAAAAAATTAATAAGTTTTTTAAAAAAAATAAAAAAAAATAAAAAAAAAAATTAAATAAAATTTTATATAAAAATAAAATATTAAATATTTAAGTGTAAACTTATTTTGGTGAGATTTCCTGAAAAAAATAACAACTTCAACAGCGATCCATAAAAAAAAAATAAACAAAAAAAATTTTATATTAAAAATTCAAAATTCATGTACTTAATAACTTATTATGGTGTTGTAATATAAAAAAAATCCTTAAGTATTGTATTTTGGTAAAGTGCGATTTATTATTTGAAAGTCTGTTTAAAAAAACCTAATCAAAAAAAAAAAAAAAGGATATAAATAAATTTAAGTTTTTTAATATATTTTATTTTATAATTTTGAGTTTCAATGGGAGAGATAACGTTCACAATCTAAAGCGGCCATACATCCTGAACCAGCAGCAGTAATAGCTTGCTAAAATAATCGAAAAAAAAAAAATTTTTAAAAGTAAAATTATGAATAATAAAAAAAACCAAGTTAGTAAAAAATTATTAAAAATGTAAATAAATAAAAAAAAAGAACTTACTCTATAAATTTTATCTTGAACATCACCACAAGCGAAAACACCTTCAACAGATGTTTTGGATGAACCTGGAACAGTTTTGATATAACCAGTTTCATCAACATCGAGTTGACCACCTAAGAAAGAGCTATTTGGGGTGTGACCAATAGCATAAAAGAGACCTTGAGCTTCAAGATCAGATTTTTCACCAGTTTTAACGTTTTCAATACCAACTGCATTAACTTTATCATCACCTTTAATTTCGACTAAAACGGTATCCCAAAGAACATTGATCTTTGCATTGTTTTTAACTCTTTCTTGCATAGCTTTACTGGCACGCATGGTATTACGACGAACTAACATTGTAACTTTTGAGGCAAAATGGGTAAGGAAAGTAGCTTCTTCAGCAGCAGTATCACCACCACCAACTACGACTAAATGTTTATTTCTATAAATTGGGAGAGCACCATCACAAACAGCACAGGCTGAAACACCTTTACTCCAAAACTTTTCTTCACCTGGTACACCCATTCTCTTGGCGGTAGCACCGGTAGCGAGAATAATTGATTCTGTTAAAATTGGTTTATCTTCTTCATCTTCAACAAAAACTTTGAATGGTTTTGATTTTAAGTCTACTTTAGCAATAGTTTTAGTTTCGATTCTAGTACCACATTTTTCATTTTGTTCTCTCATTTTATCCATTAATTCTTGACCTGAAATATCAGTTGGGAAACTAATTGATCATTAATCAAAATTAAATCATTATTAATCAGTATTATTATTAGTGATTATTATTATTATTATTATTATTATTATTATTATTATTATTATGTATTATTTATAATTATTAATAATTATTAGGGATTATTAATTATTATTATTATTATATAAAAAAAAAAAATGAAAAATGATTTATTAGTATTTCTGCGCTATAGTTTAAAAAATATATATATATATAAATGTATATACCCTGGGAAATTTTCAATTTCAGTAGTAGTAGTTAATTGACCACCAGCAGCAACACCTGCAGCCATAAAACCTTCAAACATTAATGGATTTAATTTAGCTCTACCAGCATAAATACCAGCAGTGTGACCAGCTGGACCTGAACCAATAATAACAACTTTTTCTACGTTAGTTGACATGTTTCTAATGAATATATATTTATTGTTATTTGTTTTTGATGATAATGCAAAGTTGTTATTTAATGATGTAATATTATAAAAATTATTTTTGTTAATTAATTTTCTAAACATAATAATTAAAAATTATGAAAAAAAAAAAAAAAAAATTTGGCGAGTGAAAATATTTTTAAATTTTTAAAAAAAAAAAAAAATTATAAAAAAAATAAAAATTTAAATATTTATTTTTTCATATTTACTCACCAAAAGGAATATTGGAGAATTATGTGGAATGATAGAATTTTAAAATGGTTTAAATATTAACATTTTATATATAAACTCTATATATCAAAAAAAAACCATAGTGTTTGTGTATAAACTTTAATGTAGTATACTATTTTATATTCTATATTTTTCATTCCATGTTCTCTTATTCTCTATGGGGTCGCACTCTATAAATACATCCACAAATTCCTTTTGAAATATTTATTTTTTAATTAAATATTTAATATTTATTTAAAGTAGGTACATTTGTTTCTTAAATAAGAAATTTATGTTTATTTTTCTTTTTAAAAAAAAAAAAAAAAAAAAAAATAAAATTATTAACCATTTTTTTATTTTTCGAATTTCATCAGCAAAACTAAAATAAAAATAATAAATGGTTTGTAATTAAAAATATTTTTAATTAAAAAAAAAAGTTAATTCTATTCTATTTTTAAATTCCGTTCTATAAACTAATTTCTATTTTTAAATACCCCATAAAGAAAAATGCATAATCACACCACATCATTTTTTTATTTTTTTCTTTTTTTTTTTTTTTTTTTTTTTAAAATCTTATAATTAAACAATGGATGGACCTTTCAAAGAGATACAAAATTGTTTTTAAATTAAATTACAAAGATATTTATCCAATTCAAAAAAAAAAAAAAACGAAAGTAAAAAAAAAAAAACGAAAGCAAAAAGCTTTGTAAAAAAAAATTTTATTTTTTTTAATTTTTATTTTTTTTAAAAATTTTTTAAATTATTAACTTTTTTTTATTTTTTTTTGTTTTTGTCTTTATACCCACTAGTTAACACACACAATACTCAAAGTAATAATATAATTTATTATTATTTTTTTTTCAAATTTTTTGATTAAATTTTTTCACACTACAGTTAAAATTAATATTAATTACTAAAGAAGAAAAATAAAAAAATGATTAGAAATGTTTTATCATCAAAGTTAACTTTAAATAAAGTATCAAGTGCTGGTTTTCAAATAAGAAATATTGCATCACTTAAAAGTGAAGTTAAAAAAGGTAATTATTCAATTAGTATAAATAAAAAAAATAAAATAAAATAAAAATAAGTAAAATTTTATATTAATATAAATTATTTTTAAAACTATAATAGGATTATTTGAAGAGTTATTCCCATTGGCTACCAAAATTGATCCAACCTCAAGTTCATTTATTGCAATTGAACCAATTGAAGGAACCAGTGTCAATGGCACACTTTTTGTAGATAAAAAAACAGAACTCAATAGTTTATATGGATCAAATTTAAAGGTACCAAAGAAAGGCGCACAAGATAGAGTTGATCTCTTAGTTTCAAGCAATGAAGATAAATTGGAAATGTTTGATTCTATTAGTAGATCAGCTTTAGAGAGATCTGATGACTTTAGAGAAGATATGGATTTCCACCATAGACAAATATACCAACTTACTCCATCAGATTTTGAAGAGATGGAGATTAGAAAAAAGAAAAAAGAATTACACAAACAAGAGTGCTTTGATGAATATATTAAACATCTCGCTAAACACCATGAGAAACCAAACCACTTGTCATTTATTATAACAGAAACATTAAATATTACCAACGAACAAATTATAAATACCCTTCAAGAGTCAATTGAACATCCAATTTCCTCATATTCAATTAAAAGATCAAAAGATAGAACTTATTTTGGTAAAAAGATGTCAACAATGGTTTCAATTATATTAAATAGTGAATATGACGATTTGACTGTTGATAAAGACGTATATTATAAAAGATTTTTAAATTTTGGTATAATTTTTAATGTATGTATAAATAACACACACACCCACTCTAACAGTTTAATATTAGTTACTAATATAGCTTACAATTATATAGGGTGAAAGACATCATGTTATTAAATCAAGTGGTATTAAAACAATCGAAATTAGAATCAGCGATGATGCTGATGAAAAAATTATAAGAGAAATATATAGCAAAGAATTTAATGAAAATTGCAACGACCCAAATTATATGAAATTATCAATAGCAGAAGCTTCTTACAATCCATTTGAAATGTCACCAAAAAAACATATTGGCTATTGCAATCTCACATTCCCAACTCATCTTCAAGCCATCAAAGCATTTGAATTCAGTAAAACTTTAACAATAAATGGTAAACAAGCAAGACCAAATCTTAGTAGATATATTTTTGCCGATAACTCTGCATCATCACTTTTAATTAAATCTTTAGAAAGAAGAAAAGCAAAACAAGGTCAAGAAATTGAACACATGAGAAAAATGATAGATATAAAAGAAAAAGTTAAACTATTAGAAAAAAATTTAATGGAAATTAGAAAAAGAACACAAGCCAATAATAATAATAATAGTGGGGAAGAAAATGATAGTAGCAATAATAATAATAATATTTTAAAAAAAAGATTAATGTAAATTCCTTTTTTTTTTTTTTTTTTTATAAATAAAATTAATTAATTATTTATATGATAAATTTAATCAGTGTCTTTATTTTTTAAATTTTTTTTTTTTTTTTTAAATCAAAAAATAAAGTGGGGTAAAAAATTAAATCATAAAAAAAGAATATTATAGTTTTGTTTTTATAGTTTTATTTTTTAAAGTTTTATTTTATTTATTACTTTTTTGTTTTTTTAAAATAAAATCTGATGCATCTGTGGATTCGGTATCTTTTCTTTTATTCTGTTGTGATTAATATAAAAAAAATGGTTAGAATTTTGCTATTGGGGTTTTTTTTTTTTTTTTTTTTTAAATCAACTTACATTTTTTAAATTATTCTTTAAATTATTAAGAGTATCGCTAACATTGGTTTTGGTTGATTCGTTTTTATTTCTTTGTTTTTCTTCTGGTGCAATTGATAATTTCATTCTTTCTTCTTGTCTCTTATTTTCAGATTCGACATGTTTAGCTTCTCTTTCTTTTTCTTTTAATTTACGTTTCTTTTCTTCACTGAGGAAATATTCACCAGAAGCCATAGCAATATCCTCTTTTCTTGGTAATTGATCTTGAGCAAATGGAGCTGCGTCTCTGTCTTTCTTTTTCTTTTGTACTTTTTTCTTTTTGTTTTGATTTTTCTTTTTAAATTGTGGTAAAAATTTATCCCATGATTCAGCTTTTAATGATTCATCTTTTTCTAATTCTCTTTTAATCATTAATTCTTTAATATTATAAATTGGATGGATATTCTTCATACAATCCTCGACGATTTTACGTACTTGGAGTAAACCTTGCCATGGTCCAATACATGATACTGTGTTACCTTGAACTAAAACATAACATTTAGTTAAAAGTTCGATGGCTTTTAATGTTGAACCATCTGGGCCTACTAAACGTTGTCTTCTCTTTACAAATCTTTCTTTATTTCTAACAAAACCACCAATTTTAATAACCTCACAATTATAATCATCCAACATAATCTTTTGTGCCTATTAATGTAATTTATATATATATATGGATTTATTTTATTAGTATGCAGGTTTAATATTATGATATAATAATGAATGAATAATTGTATCAATATTTACATGTTCAAATGGTACAGATCTTGAAAGTAATTTAATTAAATCTCTTGCTTTTAAAATTGCAACTGGATCCCAGCATTTTGATGTGGTAGTGGTTGTCATTGAACCTTCAATTAAATCTAATTTACATTCAATACCATGATCTTTGAGGAGGTTTTCAACCAATTTCCAAATCTCTTGAAGATACTTTTCTCTATATTTTGGGAATAATGTTGCAAATGAACTTTCATCATAGAGTACACGTTTTGGTACATCCTCTCTTTTTAATGCTAATGGTTTCCATGGGTCGACACCTTTTGGAATTTCTAAATCTTCTCTTTCTTTTTTCTTTTTATATTGTTTTTTATTTTCTGTATTATCGTTATTTTCAACTTCTGACATTTTTCAATAGTTATTTATTTATGACAATATATATATTTAAAATGATTATTGATAAAATAAAAAATAAAGAAATGATAAAAGTGTGTTGTATTTTGTCGTTTTTATAATTAAAAAAAAATTTTAAAAAAAAAAAAAAAAGAAAAAAAACGAAAAAAAAAAATAAAAAATTTTTTTTTAATTTTTTTTAATTTTTTTTATTTTTTCAAAAAATGAATATAAACTATTAATTTTTTAATTTTGATTCTTAAATAATCTAAATTTACAAATCAAATTAAACTTAATTAATGATCATTTAAATAATTAAAATAAAATTCAGCAAATTGATTGAAATTAATCAAATAATTTTTTTTTTTTTTTATTTTTAAATTTTTTAAAATTTTCATTTTTTTTTTTTTTAAAATAATTTTTTTATTTTTTTCAATTTTATAAAATATTTATTAATTTTTTCATTAAAAAAGATTATACAATAAAATGGCAGAACCAGCCCAACAACAAGTTAATTTAGCTACATTATCACTTGAACAGTTACAACTTGTTCGTGAACAAGTCGAAGAAGTATGTGGATAGCAGTAGTTTTATATATAAATATTTGTGATGGCACTATATAGCCATTTTTTTTAAATCTACAATTCATTTCAATGACCAAAATTAATTATTAACTCACACATATATTAAATCTAATATAATAGGAAATTCAACAACTTTCAGAATCAATTCAACAACTTAGACATGCATCAAATAAATATTTAGAAGCCAAAGACGCAATGGGTGGATTAAAAGGTACAGAAGGAAAAGAAATTCTTGTTCCATTAACTTCATCGGTATTTATCAAATAGTGTTATATAAACACAAGAAACATAAAGCTAATTCTATTTATACATTTACCTACTATTCAGATATATATTTCAGGTAAAATAAATGCAAATGAAAAAGTTTTAGTAGATATTGGTACAGGTTATTTTGTTGAAATGGTAATTAGATGATATATTTTTATAAAATAATTGAAAATGGGGTTTATCAATAACAATGATATTAATAATAAAACAATAATAATAATAATAATAATAATAATAATAATAATAATAATAATAATAATAATAATAATAATAATAATAATAATAATAATAATAATAATATTTTAATTTTTTTAGGGCATTGATCAAGGTCAAGGTTTTTCAACTAGAAAAGTTCAATTAATCCAAGAACAAGTTAATAAAGTTCAACAAGCCATTACTATTAAAAGACAAAATTTAGATCAAATTATGCAAGTTGCACAAGGTAAACTTGCTTTATATAAACAACAACAAGCACAAGCACAACAAGCTGAAAAATAATAAATAATAATTAGGAAAAAAAAAAAATAAAAAAAAAAGAAAAAAGAAAAAAAATTTTAAAAAATATACTATAGTTTTATAGATTTTATAAAACTAATATTGTGGTTTTTTATATTTGGAATGACCATAAATAGTCACCATTACTTTTATTTTAATTGTTTTTTTATTGCTTTTTTTTTTTTCTACATAATCTATTATGATTTCTTTACCTAATAATAAAATGGAATTGGTGTTGGTAAATAAAATGAAATTCACTACAAAAGTGTTACAGCTATAATGGTTACTACATACTTTATACACAGTTGTTATTAAAAAAAATATAAATTTTATATAATTATTGTCATTTGTTATAATTTAGTTATCTTTTTTGTTGGCAGAAACTACAACAGATGGGGTAACAACATAGTGATAATAAACAACTAAAAGGAAAATTGCAGCACCTAAAGTATTGGCTAATAAAGTTAATTGGGTGTCTGTGATCATTCTTTTATATATAAATATTTATAAATCTAAATAATTTTTTTATAAATTTTTTCTAAAAATTAAAAAAAAAATTAAAAAAAAAAAATTGAAAAAAAATAAAAAAATAAAATTTTTGAAATACAAAAAAAAAAAAAAAAATAAATATAAAATGAAATGAAAAATAGAATGATGATATTAGATTTTTAAAAAAAAAAGAGTTTTATTTTTAAATAAAATAATAATTATATATTATTATATTATTATTTTCATTTTTAAAACCCATTGGTGTGGGGTGGTAATTTTTGTTATTATATATAACTAAATTATTTATATATTATTATTATTACTATTGTTATTGATTGTTGATTATATTGATTCTTATTGAATTACTCTATAGTAATGCTTATTTGATTTTCTCATAATTAAGAATGTAATGAGAATACCAACAATGAGTGAGAAAGCGGAGCCACCAACGCAAATACCAATCCAAATTGGTAAGGTTAATGGAACTGGTTGTTTTGGAGCTGGAGATTCAAAGCCGAATGATTGTGGAAGGTCGGCAAATGATTCATTATTTAAGAATCTTTTGATCATATCATATGAACTAGCTGGCATATCCATTGGATACATATGTGAACCGCCTAAAGCTAATACAAAAGTAAGATTTTCAAAGGTTTTACCATAACCAGCGGTAACAGTAGCAGTTCCTTCGTTATTGAATGAGTTCCAAGTGAAACGTGAGGCATTGTTCCATGATTGTTGACCATCCCATTCCATACCGTCTAAATATTGGGTGGTACCAACGTGGTTACAAATAATATCAAATTGACCGTTATAAATCAAAACTTTAATTTGTTTTAGGAGGATTGGTAAAAGGAATAATGAAGATTCATCTTGATTGGTGAGTGCAGCATTACAGGTCATGTTACATTCAGTCCATACGTCTGGTAAGTTTGGATTGGCATGGATGGCAGCTCTAACGTCAGCTCTTTGGAGATAGCTGGTTTCAAAGCCGAGACCTGGTTGTGGCCAGTTGTCGCCTGCTGTTGGGTCGTTTAATCTGTAATCATACATATTAACCATTGATGTGGTGTTTGTACCTGAGTCTGATAAGAGTTGATTGAAAACATTAGCACATTCATCAGAATTGTAGTTGTTTAATTTTAATTGCTCTTGACAGAGTTCATTGAGTTGGTTGTATTCGTTGACTTGGTTAATACCAATAATACCAATATTATAGCCAAATGTAGCATATGAGGCAATTTGAACTGGTGGATGGGTATAACCGTTACCCATTGCAATACCAGCAATATTAATTGGGATGAGGTTTTTATTAGTTGAAGTTTGACTGTTCATACTTAAAATATAATCAGCCATATGTGGGATGTAATGACCAGCATAACTTTCACCACTCATGTAGAATGGTAATTTAGAGTAATCTGAGAAAATGGTAAAGAAACTTTGAAGGAATTGATAAAAGTTTTGATTGATTTCGAGATCGTTGGTAACACTATCACCATAGGTAAAACTTAAACCTGTACCGACTGGTTGATCGATATAGAGGACATTGGCGGCATTGTGCCAGCTCCATGGATTGAGGTGGAAGGTTTTACCATCACTGTTGAATCTTAATGGACCAGTTTCGATGAAAACTGAATCTGAGCTGGTGCAACATGGACCACCATTTAACCATATTAAAAATGGTGCATCTAATGGGTTTGAAACATTTGCTGGGAAAAACCAAAAGAAAAGATTACCGTTGCTTGTTTCATTAACATTAATAAGACCTTTTTTTTTTAAAAAAAAAAAATGTTTTTAATTTAAAAAATATAAAAAAATGAAAAAAATTAAAATTTGTTGACAGCAAAAACAATGTTTTCAATAAAATTTTATGATTTTATGCATACCTGAATAAAAAGTAATATTATCACTGAGACCTGGTAAATCGGTAACTAAAAATTGATCTGGGGTATCTTTAATAGTATTTAAATCTTTTAAATAGGAAGCATCATAGTATTCGGGTGTATGAATATCTGGTTTTGGGTTTGGTTTTCTCCATTCTTGGTAGGATCTATCAAAATTAAATGGTTTTGAGTAGATTACAACAATATTTGAAAATATAATAGTAATAATTAAACAAATAAATAACTTGTTCATTTTGTTCTGTTATTTTAAAATAAAAAAATAAAAAAAAATGAAAATGAAAATAAATTTATTTTTTTTTCGTTTCCAACCAAATTTCCACCTATTTTTTTTTATTTTTTATTTTTTTTTAAAAAAAAAAGATTTTTTATTTAAAAAAAAAGTAAAAAAGAAAAGTTTTTTTCTTTTTCAAAAAGAATTAAAAAAAAAAAAAGAATTATTTATTATATAAAATAAAAATAAAATTTAAAAATTATATTAATAATCTACCAATTTGAAAGATATTATAAAATATCTTTTAACAAAAATGATCTTGTGTATTATCTCAAATTAATAATAATTAATTTTTCTTCTTTTTTAAATTGATTTTTTTTAGGGAATACCCCCTTCTCTGCATTCAGAACTATCGATATACATTCAGAACTATTAGCGCATTAGGACAACTTGCTGCATTCAGAACTATTGATCATCAATCCAGAATGCAACCCCACAATTAATAAAGCAAAAATACATTAACTGTTTTTTTTTTAAAAAATAAAATAAAAAAAATATAAAAAAATAAAAATAGGAGTATTTTCTAAATATAAAATTAAAAACAATTTATTTATTTTCTTTAATATTATTATTATTGGTTTATTTATTTATTTATAATAATATGATGATATATATATTGTATAAATAGGTATGATTCTTATAAATACTGATATTTGAGAATTGTTATTTACAAAGATTATATAATTAATATTTTCTAAAAATTAATTATTTTAAATATGTACATGGTTGGGTTTGGGATTTTGATTATATACGCTTTTTTTTTTTTTTTTTTTTTTTTAATTTTTAGTGTTGGGGTATAGATTTTGTTCACTTTAGAACTCTGTGTTTCTAAAGTCATTTGTTCTGTTATTTGAAATAAGTCCATCAAGGATATGATCAGTGGCTAAATGAATTTCGAAAGCTTTGTCGCATTTAAAGAAGAACTTTCTTTTATCTTTGAGAACGATTTCCCATTCAGTCCAATTGTCTTTTAAGTTAAATTGTTGAATTTGTAACCAAGCAATTTCTTCAAAGATTTCACTTTCGTCATGGGCAATGATTTTAATAGAATCTTCACAAATTGCAAGTACTCTTGGTTGTAAAACTTTACCTTTGGTAAAACTATTTGTGTTTGTGAATTGATCAACCTTGAATCTACTTTCGGCTAATGCACATAAATGAGCTTGATCGGATTTCTACAATTATAATTAACATTTTATTTATAAAAATAAAAATTAAAAAATTTTAATTTAAATATTTAAAAAAATAAAATTAAAAAAAATTGGTGAACATTTTGTTTATTTGAAAATTTAGAAAAAAAAAAAAAATTATAATTACCTTTGGTTGTTTCTTAAATACATTAAAGCTGGCAAGTTTCATTTTTGAATTATATGGGATTTTAATAGTTTTATAATAAATATGAACTGAATTACTTTATAATTTTAGTAATGATAATATTATGTTAATATTTTTTTTTTTTTTTTTTATAAATAAATAAATAAATAATATAAAAATAAATAAAATTAAATAAATAAATAAGTTTAAAGAGATAACACGCGCACAACAAAATAAATAATCAATAAAAAATAAAATTATTTATAGTGTTAATTTTTTTGATTATATTATTATAAAAATTAAAAATTTTAAATTTTTAAATTAAATTAATTTTTAAATTTTAATAAAAAATATTTTATAATAATTGAATTGATTAAAATAAAAATTGATTATGTGTGAGTGTATATTATAACTATGTGATAGTATTAAAATAGTTTTATTTTTAAAAAAGAAAAATTATTAAAATAAAATATTTATAAATTTTATAAAAAAAAAAAAAAGAAACAAAAAAAGTAAATTATAAATTTATATAATATAATGCATATAAAACTATAAAAAAACAGACAAATTATTTATATTTTTTTTTTTACTTTTGAATTATTGGAATGAATAGATTAAATTTAGATAAATAAATGAAAAAAAAAAAAAAAAAACACAACAACAATTAAAAATTATAATTTAATTTAATTATAAATTTATGCATTAAATAAAAAAAAAAAATGGGAATGTAATAAGGTTTGGAAAAAAAAATAATATATTTTAAAATTTAAAAATAGTGGTTGATAGGGTGGATAAAATTAAAAAATATTTGTATTAAAGTGTTTTTTTTTGTGTTGTTTAAATTATTGATAATATTATTAAATAAATATTTTAGGATAAAAAAAGAGAGATATATATGGGGTAGTAACAAGTCTGTGTGTGGGAAAAAAAGTAAGCACACATACGCACGCACACAAAGACAAGAAAGATAGAGCTACTGTTAATATATATAAATTGTTGTTGTTCTGTGTTATTATGTATATTGATTTTTTTAATATTTTATTATTGTTTTTTTTTAATTAATAAGTGGGTGTGTGTGATGAAGATAAATAAAGAGAGATAATACTTTTTATCCAAATATGAAAATATTAATAGTAGTAGTAATAGTAATAATAGTAGTAGTAGTAGTAGTATTATAAGTTGTTGTTGTAAGAGAAATGAAAGTGTTTTTTTAATTTTGAAATTATATAAATAATAAAAAAAAAATAGAAAAATAATAATAATAATAATAAAAAAATAAAAAAGTATACATTATTTTTAAATTTATTTTGTGTTAAAAAAGTGTGATAAAAAAAAAATTATTATATGAATTTTTTTGTGTGTGTGTGAGAGTGAGTGTATATTGTGTGTGTTTTATGTGTGTTTAAATGTGTGTTTGTTGTTTGTTTTTTTTTTTAATTTTATCTTATCAAAATTATAGTGGGCGAGTGTGTTAAGCATTAAAGCTATTTACAAAATGTAAAACTATTTTTAGGTTTTTTGATCCTTAGTTTTTTGAGAACTTATCTATTTACTTTTTTTTTTATTTTTTTTTCTTCCTCGTTTTAAATATAGTATTTTTTTGTTTGATGATTAATAATTTTAGAATACATATAATAAATTATTTTTCCTATTTCTTTTTTTAAAGACATTTTTATTTATATATTTTATATACGTATATATAAAAATAAAAAAATTAATTATATTAAAAAAAGATAAAACCTGTATTATAATTAATTTTGTATTAAAAAATTAATAATCTGAAATATAAAATAAAGATAAAAAAAAAAAAAGTGCACTTAGCACATATGTTTCTACATTCTGATAAAATCACAAAGGGGATTTAAAAGAACCTAAAGTTTTTATGATAATATTTTCAGATAATAATATTAATAAGGTTTTTTTTAAATAAAACTTTTAAAAAAGGGTTATTTTCATTATTTAAAAAATGTCCAATTTAAACAATAAAGTAAACGGCGTTTGAGATTATAAAATATAAAAAAAAAAAAAAAAAAAAAAAAAAGGTTTTATTTTAAAGATATATAAGGAAAATAAAGTTTATACTTTATATAAATATTATGGAGTAATAATATTTATTTAAAAATTTATTATTACAATAATAAAACCCACATTAACTGTTTATCTGCGGGTGAATGTGTGGGTTTTTTTTTATTATTTTAAAATTGATCAAACCGTAAAATGTGTGGTAGTATTATTTATAGATCTATTTATTACTTATGATTTCATGAATTAAACATATAATAAAATAATGATTGAATAAATATTTATTTATAGAACAATGTTAACTAATAACCGGCCATAGTTCATTTAATTGTAAATGTGTGAATATATAACACTATTGAGAACACACCCACAAATATCAAACTTTAATTAATTAAATTTAAATTATGTTTTTTTTTTTTTTTTTTTTCCTAAACACACAGTTATTGTGAGTTTTTTCAAAATAATTTATACATATATCTATTATTTATATTTTTATATATTTTTATTTTAAAATTTTATTATCTTATCCTCTCTAACCCCAATACCATCAAATTATATATTTATTTTTTTGTTTATATTATTTTATTTTATTTTTTTTTTCACAAACGAATTTTATTTATTTATTTTATAATTTTTTTTTTTTGAATTATTTTTTTTTTAAAATTTTTTTTATTTTTTTTAAAAATTTTTTTATTTTTTTTTTTTTATTTTTCATTATAACATTTTTAAAAAAACAAATTGTAAATAAAAAAAAACAAAAATAAATAAATAAAATAAAACACATTTTTTTATTTATTTATTATAAAAATAAATAAAATCAAAAAATCAAATAATGACAAATAATTTATTTTCAAAAAGTAGGTATAAAATAAAGAAAAAACCCAAAGTTTTTTTTTTTTTTTTTTTTACAAATAAACACCAATTTATAATTTTCAAAAATAAACGATTTATATTAACATAACATTTTTTTTAGAACCATTAAATTCAATTGAAAATAATAATTTATTATCTCAAGGTGTTTTATATTGCTGGGGTGAAAAATTTACAAATAAACCAACATTTAATTCATTAATTCCAAATATTTGTTATTTAGATAATGGTTTAAATCACAGCTTAGCACTAAACGAAAATGGAGAATTATATGGATGGGGCGATAATAGATATTGTCAATTAGGTAGCAAAACATCAGAACAAATAGTAGTGACACCAATAAAAATTAAAATACCAGTAGTAGGAAATCAACAATCACTTAAAATCAGATCTATTTCGTGTGGAGGCAACTTTTCAGCAGCAATTTTAGAGAATGGATTACTTTATACATGGGGTTTATTAAATGAAGGTGGAAAAATTATTGAAACACCAACCAAAGTTGATTTATTAAAAAATGTAACATCAGTATCGATAGGTATGAATCATTGTGCAGTAGTAGCAGATTCTCAAACACCAGAAAAAAAGTCAGTTTATTGTTGGGGTATTAATCGTAAAGGTCAATTGGGTGTTGTTGGCGATTCAATCACAAATGCACCAAGAAGGGTCACATTGGGCTCCAAAGCAATTACAGTTTGTTGTGGTGATGAATTTACAGCAGCCATTGTCGAAGGTAATGAAGTATTTGTTTGGGGTAACAACAAAGGTAGACAAATTTGTAACAATAGTGATGATATTATATCTATTCCAGCCAAACCATTTTTAGGACGTGATGTAGTGGAGCTTTCATGCTCAAAGAATTATATTGCAGCAAGATCTGGTGTAGGTAATGTTTGTATTTGGGGAAGTAATGATACAGTATGCAAATTAGGTGAATCTGATAAATGGATAACATTTCCAAATAAAATCAAACAAATATCTGCTTCAATCAATCATTTATTAGCATTATCAGAAAAAGGTGAAGTTTTTAATTGGGGTTTATCGGAAACAGAACCAACAAGCGGCAAAAAAACATTACAATATCAATTAATCAATCAATTAGAAGGTAGAAATGTAATTTCAGTTTATGCATGGAATCGTACAAGTGGTGCAATCATTGAACCAGGTAACTTTAAAGTAGAAATTGCAGAATCAATGAGAAGAAAAGATAACATTAACGCACCAGCCCCACTTTTTGTAAGAAAACTTGTAAACTTTATTAGAGGTGAAAACACAAGAGCAGAAGGTTTATTTAGACTCTCAGGCTCAATGGCACGTTTAGACGATTTGGAAAGAAAACTTGACTCGAACGAAATGTTCAGTATGAGCAAATTTGAACCATTCGATGCAGCCGATATCATTAAACGTTACTTAAAAACACTTCCAGAACCACTTTTATTAAATAACTTGTGTCAACGTTATGAAAAAGATATTTTAAACACTTCAGACCAAAATCAACGTGAGCAAATGATCATGGAATGGATTGCAAAACTACCAAAAGATAATAGACAACTCTTAATTTATTTACTATCATTCCTCGAAGAAATATCCATTTCTCAAATTAAATATCAAAAGTCGAATGCAATGTCACAAAAAAATTTAGCTTTAGTTTTTGCACCCAATATCTTAACCAAAGGTGAGATTGGCAATGATGATATTGTCGAAGATATGATCAAAATGCTCCCAGCAATAATGAAACAATATCCAGAAATGGAAGAGTTAAATATTATCGATCAAGCACAACAATGTTTAAGAGGCTCTCGTATTTCATACATAATTGATCATTGGGTTCGTATTACTCGTGAACGTGACACAGCAAACAAAGCATTATTCAAACCAGAAATTATAAAAACAATTATCAACTCTATAGTTGAATGTACATTAGAATTAAAAAACCAATCACCTCGTGACAGTAACAATAATTTATTAGCAAATGTAAATAGTAATAATAATAATACAATTGGAGGCAGCGGCACCAATCAATTAAGTTTATCGACCTCATCATTATCCTCAAGCAGAGATAATAATTTTTGTAATAATAGTAATAATAGTAATCAAAATTCACCCTTAACTGGTAGCTCACCAAATTTATCACCAACCATATTAACTCGCTCAAGCTATTCATTATCATTTAGTGGTGTAAGCAGCTCACCAGCACCAATAAGTCATCAGAGTACAGGTAGCGGTAGTTCATTAAACCTTTTAAATTTAAGTGGCGGTGCAATTGCAGCAGCAGCAGCCAAACAAAACCCAAGCCCACAATTAATTGGCTCACCCTCATTATCTTTCTCCAATTCATCTGGTAATTTAATTGAAAACACCCGTCTTTATGAACAAGTTTTGGCTTTAATTTTATCTCCAATTATTCCAATCAAGAGTATCATGAAAGTTTTACCATCGATCTTTGAACTCGAGACCAACAATGATCTCTTTATCAGACTTTTAACTACTATCAAATTGGTTAGAACTATTAATCTAAATATGGACGAAGAAATCTGCGACCAAATGGCAAAGGTTAAAGAAATTAATAGTTGTTCACAGTTTGTAGGATCCATTAGATCATTAAATGAACATGTAGAACACATAATTTCAGATATTCTCTATTGCGACGAAAGCATCAACTACTGGAAACAATTATCACCATCCATTCAGCTTTACACACAGCAAATTCTATCATACTTTAAATGGTGGAACGACCTTTTAGAGAAATCAAACAGTGATACCGAAGAGAAATTATTCCGTGTTAAAAAAGAATTTGATAAATTAGAAACCGAAAAATCAAAATTAGAGAAACAATTAAATCACTTAAACTCTGTAACATTAGAAACCTCCGATGAATCTATCGTATTAAAAAAACAATTTGATCAATGGTGTCTCTTAAATCAAATTGAGGTAACTTGCCGTAAAATTGAAGCATCCAATATTCAATTACAATCAATGAACCAACAATTCATCAATATTCAATCACAATTGGAATCATTCAAACCACATTTAGCTATTGTTCAAGAATTTGTTACCACCACCCAAAAATCATTATCTCTATACATTGAAAAATTAGAATCTACAAAATCTAGCATCCTTACTATTTTCCCTCAATTCTTTAATCTCTATATCGAATTAATTTTCACACATCACCATGAAATCAAATTACAATCTCAACATATCCCAATCATTAAAGCATTAGCCACCTCAATCACAGCACAACATCATTTGCTATTTATCGAAAACTTAAATCAATCAAAATATCAAATTTCTTTAGAATTAGAAACTAAATTTTTCTCTTTGAAAAGATTAATTTTAGAAAATTTAAAAGATTCAAGATAATAAAAATAATATTAATAATTAATAAAAAAATAAAATTTTAAAAAATAAAAAAGAAAAGAGAAAAAAAAAAAAAATATATATATATATGTATTGTCATTGGCTTTAGATTTATTAATTTTACTTTTTATAGAAGAATCAGTTTTTAACCAAATTGGTAAATCAAAAGCCAAAAGAAAAAAAAAAAAAAAAAAACCACACATTTAAAAATAAAATTTTATTTTTATTCGTGTATGTTTTTAATTAAAATAAAATATTATCTTTTCAAATAAAAAATAGTCGTCATTTGGTCGTTTCCATATCACCATATTATCGAACTACTATTTTTAAATAAAAATCATTTATAATGTAAATAATAATAAAAAAACAAATCAAACAACAACAAATTTTTGGGTGTAAAGTAAATATTTAAAAAAAAAAAAATTTTAATTTTTAATTTTTTATTTTTTATTTTTTATTTTTTTCTTTTTTATTTTTTTTAAAGCTGTTTTGTGTAAATAATAAATATAAAAAGAATAGAGATAGGTAAAACAAATTTTGTGCATATCAATTTTTTTTAACAGATTCAGGATAATAATAAACACAATAAAAATAATAATAATAACAATAATATTAAAAAAGTTAACCAATTTTTAAAATTGTTTTTTTTTTTTTAATTTTTTATTTTTTTTTATTTTTTTATTTTTTTATTTTTCTATTTTTTTATTTTTTTATTTTTCATATTATATGTTTTTAATTTTTTATTGTTTATAGTTTATTGTTTTTATTGTTTTTATTATTATTTATTATTTAATCTGTATATTTAAATAAATTTAAAATTAACAAGTCATTTTAATTTTTAGAGTTTGGCAGTGCTTTGTTTAAAAATTTAAAAAAATTTGATTATATTAAAATATGGGTAAAAGAGATAATGTTTCCGTCGAGGAGGATATAGATGAAGCCGAAATCGAAAAGAGTAATAAAGAAAATGACCAAGGAGTACAACCACAACAATTAACAAAGGAAGAAATGGAAGAGCTTGATGGTTCAAGCTCGAGAATTTCAGCAATAGCAAAAATGATTAAAAAGGTTAGTGTTGGTTCTGACATTTCAAATATTTCAATGCCAGGAAGTTTTATTTTACCAAAATCAACTTTATCCTATTTCACTGAGAATTTTTCATCATATTTTCAAGAATTGTTAAAGTGCGTATTTTTTATTTTTTTTATTTTTTTTATTTTTTTTAATATCTAACACACCACTTTTTTTTTTTGATTTTTTTTTAGAGCAAATAAAATTGATGATGATTTGGAAAGATTTTTACAAGTCCAAAAATATTTATTTACAACATTAAGAGAAACTGAAGATGTAAGTCAAATAATAATCATATATAGTAATATTATTATTATCATCATTTATAAAATATTAATATTGCTTTTTTTTTATAAAGACAACTAGAAAGCCATTAAACCCTATTCTTGGAGAAACATGGGGGGCCCAAATTGTTGTTAAAGATAGCGATGGAAACGAAATTGCAGACAGTCATTTCTTTGCTGAGCAAATTAGTCATCACCCACCAATTTCATCATCATGTATATATAATAAAAGAGAAAATGTTCGTGTTAACTTTTGCCAACCAGTACGTAGTCAATTCATGGGCACATATGTCAAAATTTCATTCGAAGGTCTCAACCATATTTATTTAGGCAATTATAATGAAACTATTTCATTTACAGCAGTTCCATTGGCAATTAGATTTTTTAGAGGTTTTAGTGAATATGTTGGTAAATGTCAAATGACAAGCGATAAACATGATTATAGAATTAAAGCAAATTATCTTTCTAAACCATTAATTGGTGGTGTTTATAATGGCTTTGAATGCAAAGTATATAAAGGAAAAGAAAAACTCTTCAAGATTAAAGGTACTTGGACTGGTGAAATCAAAATAACCGATCTCAAGACAAACGAAACTACACTCTTCTTTAAAAGACCAGAAAGGGATATTAAAGTTGTATTCCCAGAAAACATTCTCCCAACTGATTCAAATATTGTGTGGAAAGGAGTCTTTGATGCCCATAAAAATGGTGATGTTAAATCAATGTCTTCAGAAAAGGTTAAAGTAGAAGAAGAACAAAGAAAAATTGCCGCTAAAAGAAAAGAAGAAAATGAAGAATGGAAGCCAGCCCATTATCATAAAAATGATAAAGGTTTGTGGGAATTAAATCAATATAAAGATTAAAAAAAAAACAATAATAATAAAAATAATAAAAATAATAAAAATAGTAATATAGTATTAAATTAATACAATTATCAATATAATTGTTTGTATCACTTTTCCAAAAATAAAGAAAAAAAAAGGAAAATATAATATCACCAAAATCAAAAATAAAATAAAAACAATAATATATAAATGCGTTGAAACTTTTCACTTTTTTTATTTATTTTATTTTTAATTTTTTAAATTCAACAGAGTTTTCATAGACTGGTCACTATATTAAAAAATCAACAACAAATAGTATTTGGAAGATGATTGTATAAATAAATTAATTTAAAAAATATAATAAAGGTTTTTAAAGTTTTAACTTTCCAATCCTACAAGGTCTTGTTTTAACCATGGTAATTAATAATTAATATAAACCTAAAAGTATTTAAAGAAAATAATTTCATAAAATTTATTTTCATTATACACATTCGGGTAAATTCAAGTGAATTGGATCATTCAAGAATATCAAAATACTTACATATGTACCTGTTAGTTGAACCTTTATTGTAAAAATAATGTTATGTTTTATTTTAATTTTTATTTAAAAAATCCAAATTGTAATTTTTTATATTATATTATTTATTGATGTTGGAATTAAAGAGTTCTTTTCTTGATATGTTTTGATAATATTTTTAATGATTCATAATATCTTATATATTTTAAATGTTACACAATACTAGATAATTTTTAATTATCCATAATATTTAGTATTCTTGAATGTTACATAATACTTGATATGCTTAATAATCCAAAATAATTTAATCAACTCTCTATAGGTATTTTGAATACATAGATACTAAGTTGGGCCGCTTGGTATCTATGTTTTTGAAATTCACCTAATTTTCAATGTGGTGGTTAATTATGTATTCTGCGTGGTGGAATACATAATTTACCACAAATTTTCAATATGGTGTTTAATTATTTATACTGCCTGAAGGTATAAATAATTAGCCATTCGGCTCTAATATAATACCCTCCTGTGGTAGCTGGAAACACTCTTTACAAAGAGTGGCTAATAGTATAAAAAAATATAAATAAAATAAATAAAATAATGGTATTAATATCATTTTATTATCTTTAAAAATTAATTATAAAATCTTTACTTAAGTTTTTTTTTCTTTAATTTTTTTTTTTTTGAAAGTTATTTAATAAAATTATTTATTATAATCAAAGCAACATTTTAACCTATTAAAAAAATAAGAAAAAAATAAGTAAAGAAATTAAGATACTTAGGTCAAAAAAAAAAAGAAATATCTCATTTTTTTTTTTCCAATATTTATAATTTTTTGGTTTTTTTTAAAAATATTTTTTTTATAAATAAAATTTTTTGCAATATAATTTTTTTTTATATTAGTAATAACGATCAATGGATAACCAAAAAACATTAAATAATAATATTAATAGTTTGTGTCAAATATCACATTTTCAAAACACTATAAAAACTATAAAAAATTTAAGTGTAGGAAATGATGATATTGATTGGGTGTTAGAGTGTAAAAAAAGGAAAGAAGAAATTAAAACTCCAGATAAATTAATTTCTTTAGGAAAATTAAACCTATTAAATTTATCACAAAAAGAAAAAATTACAGTTGATAATAGTATTTTTTCAAAAATCAATAAACACATAGAAGAAACCAGTAGACTTATAGGAATTATTCCAGAAGAAAATAATGAAATAATAGAATCACTTAAAAATTTAATCATAGAATACAGTAACTACAGAGAAAAAATTATAAATAAATTCAATTTATATAAATCAAGTGATAATAATAAAATTTTTAATGATGAAGAGCTTGATTTGTTTTTTCGACCTGTAGTCAAAATATTAAAAGAAGATTTATTATGCCGAGAAATATTATTAACAGATGGATATAAAATTGCGTCATATTGTAGAAAAAAAAACGAATTTGTTAAAAAAAATAAATATGGCTTATCATATGGTTCAAGTGTTCAAGGTGTTTACTATAAAGTTGATACCGATGATCATTTCCTTTGCCCAGTAAGAGAGAATGCTGTTTATACCTTTTTCAAAATTTTTTTTAATAGTGAAAATTATATATCACCAACACAAATGATCTTTTTAAATATACCAATTACAGAAAAAGAAAGTAAAGCAAGAAAAAATGAAGAAGAATTAGAGATTCAAAATGATTTCATTCGTGAAGCTGTTCAAATGGGAATGATGAATTTTCCAGAACTAATGAGAAAGATGAATTTTCCTTGCAAAATTAAAACGGTCTCAATCCAGGCCTCCCATCTAATATCTGGAATTCCATTCAATGAGTTTCTCGAACAACACAAAGACAATTCATCAAATCTCTCATCTCTCATCGATTTAAAAAGCTTTAGTGCACATTTCATCTCAAGTCTACTGCTTTCACCAGACGATGGCAGGGGTGATAATTTTTTTTTACAAGACAACAAAACACTAGTGGGTATTGATAGTGATGGCTCAATTTCATATGACGAAATACAAAAAACAGAATCTAATTATTTTGTTAAATCAAAAAACATTCTTTATACCCTCCCCCTAATGGACGAAGTTATAGACAACAGCATAATAGATATATTTAAAAAAATGGATATAGAATTATTTATTTTAGAGTGGTTAGGAAAATCAAATCAAAAAGAAATTTTAATAGGCAAAATGCTGGATGAAATCCTCGAAAACTGTGATTCAGCAATCAAATCGTACAAACGTAACCTATCATTACCAACAGTAATTCCAGATGGATGGATAACAAAATTTTTAAACAGATTTATAAAAATAAAGGAGGAGTTAGATTCTTTTGCTAGTCCGATTACCCACAAAAAATTATTTAAAAAAATTTCACCATTCTTATCGCTTTATTACAAATCACTTGCAAATAGGGCCAAAAAAACTCCTATTGAAGAAAGAAAAAAAGATTTTACATCAGATTATAATTATCAAATATTTATTATGGGTGAACATATGTCTTTCAAAGAGATGTGTGATAATTATTCTGGATTAGAAAAAAAAGATTTATTAAAAGTGTATGAAAAATTGAAAGAAACTGAGTTTTTCCCCCATATAGATAACAATTTGGATCTAACAAAAGAATATAAAAAACATCAATACTCAACAATAGAAGAACTCATAACTTTTCAACTAAAAGCATTAGTTTATTGTGTAGAGAGCTTTAATGATGACCGACTTTCAAAAATTGTTCAAATTATCAACAATTTAATCAAGAATGAATCTAATTTAACAATTAAACTATCAAGTGATAACTTTCATTCAACCTGGGAACAAAACAAATATTCAATTTTACTTAGGTTAATTAAAAATGGAGAAAGTTACATAACTATAGAAAACATAATTCAAATATTGGAAATTGATTTAAATACTGAACAGAGCAAATTAGAATCAACCTTTCATAGCGTTATATGCTCAAGCCATTCGAACGAAACTAAACTTAAACAACTCGAAGTTTTAAAAAAATATGGTGCCGATATTGAAGTACTTAATGACTACCATTGTACCAGTATTACTCCACTAGATTATGCAGTTATAGAAAAAAACAATCAATTATTTGTGTGGTTTATTAAAAACGGATCGGGTTCAAAATCCATGAGATTAAAAAACTGTGTATCTTTTTATTGCACACTTTTAAACTCTGAAAAAAAAGAATTAGAACCATATATGAACTCTCTCTACCATATAAACCAAAGACTAGCATGGAAATTTTCAATTCATTTTTTACTACCATGTAAAAAAGAATCAAACACAGAAAAAGAAACAAAAATAAATAAAAAATCAAAAATAGAAATTGAAACTTTTAATAAAACTAGAGTTTTAAAAGAAAAATATATTAATCAAATATTCGAAAAAGATAATAATAATTTGATCCCAAAGAAAAATAATCTAGGTAAAAGTCCAGTACCCTTCATTGAAGATTTCGGCCTCAGAATCTATTTCAAATTCTGGCCAGTATTCCCAGGTAATGAAAAATCTGTATCTATACTATCAGATCTATTATTTGGTACGTGTACCCCGTTTTCAAAAGTAGTATTAGTAGATGGAAAATTTCCTGTTCTTTTAACCCAATATGTACCAGGTGAAGAATTAATTTATAAGTTTTTTAAAGAATCATCACCTATTAGAAATAAAATCCATTCAGATGAATCTATTTTAAAACTAATTAATAAAGAAGATTTAATCGAAAAACCGATTGAACTCGATCAAATACAAGAGAGCAACCTTTCAAGACAACTAATTCTTGCAATGATTATTAATAATGCTGATGGAAATTTTGGTAATTTTATTATTTCAAAAGTATTACCCAATCAATATAGAATCGTTTCAATTGATAATGAACTTACATATACACCACCAATAATAATCAATAGTAAATCAAATAAATCCATTGGTAGTTCTAATGCTCTATTGGTTTTAGATCTAATGTTAAAAAAAGTCGACATCAGCTTTATAGAAGAACTCAAATCAATTAATATTGAAGGAGAAATTGAAAAGTGGTTAATCAAACTTAAAACGAAACATAGTTTGTCAAATGCATTATTTAATAAAATTAAAGATCAAATTAATCAAACAACTATCATTGGCACCCCAATGCACAAAAACTCAATTTACACAATCTATTCGAAACTATTAAGACTAAAAAAAGATCTTACAAATGAAATGACATACTTTGATATTTATTTTTTACTAGAACCAGAGTTGGCAATTAGACTGGAACCAATTTTGTTCAACCCATCTCTATCACCGATTAAAAGATACTTTACCTTTAAAAATTTACAACTGGATTCAAAAATATCCGAAATATCAGGTATTACAAATCCAATCAATTTATCATTAGAAACTAGCAACATACCAAACTATATGGATATTATTGAAAATATAAAACAAGGTAAATTTTTACCAAAACAGGCATTCGAGGAATTTCAAAGTATCAAAGAGCAGGTGAATCAATTAAATGATGTAAAATCAAACAAACCATTAATTAAATTTTTTGATTCAGCAGCTATTGAAAGGGTATTATATGATTTAAATTTTCAGACAATGACCAAACAAGAGGAAATTAATTTTTTCAATATTATCAAAAAAGGAAAGTTAAATGTTTATTCAGTTCATATTAAAAATAGTAAAATATTTTCATCAGATCATTTTTATCGCTTATTCATTCCAACCTCAATCACAAGAATATATATCACCAACTCTCCAACATTTGAAGGATTTTTAGGAAAAGAATTTTTATCACTTACACATTTAAATGTAGAAGGATGTTCAAACTTAACGAAAATAAAAGTCAATGCAAAAAATTTGAAATATTTGAATGCCTCCGGATGTCCTTTATTAACAGAAATCATTACAGGTACACCACACTTGGAATGCTTGCTTTTAAAGGATACAATCACAAACAATAACCATCATCTTCTTGATATAGTTTCAAAATATAAAGATTTAAAAATTTTAGATATAGGGTTTAGCAAAGAAACCCAAATCGAATCATTAGAACTATACTTTATTTTACCAAAACTCCTACAGTTTTTAGCAAATAATTTAATTGGAATTAAAAAAATAATTATATATATGCCACAAGTAAATAAATTTGAAGCAAATTTATCAACAGCAAATTTTATATTTGATGGGCTTGCATATTACAATAATAAGGAATATTCACTATTAGCAGAGTCATCAAAGAGACCAATTTCAATCAATATATTTGGTTTAATCAATCCATTTTCCAAGTACTTTTTAAACCATTTAGAATCAAAAGTGAAATCATTAAATATTGGTTGCATTCTTTCATTTAACTTTCAAACAAGTTTTTCCGTATGTTTGGTCAAAAAAGAAACCGACTTTTATTTTCAAACCCTTTTCTGTAACAGCTTTATTTTTGTTATATTGGAATTGGATGGTAATGAATCACAAAATATAATAAATGAGAAACTAAAAGAATTTTATAAAGGAAATAATAAAATATTTTTCAATCACATCAAATTTATTTTAATAACAATAGGCGAAAAAAAAAGAAATCAATCAAAAATCAATGATTTAAAGAAATTTTTAGATTTTTCTTATGAAGTTAATATTCCAATTGCTAAAGCGCCAAAAAATGTTTCTGTGACCTGGGAGCAGTTAACTAGAAAATCTGAATCAACCTCAAATAATTATATAAAACCTGATCTAATATATTCATGGACGAAGGATTTTGCAAAACTAAATATTTAGAAATAAATAATAATAATATATATATTTATATAGAAACTTTATATATTTAATAAATTTTACACTTATATATATCAATTTCTACATTTTTCAATTTATACAACTTTTATTTTTTTAAAATTGTATCCAAAATGATATACGATAAACAGCAATTAATAGATTTATTAAAAGATTAATTTGCCATTTTTTTTAAAAAACCGATAGAAGGAACAATTATCTATCTGGTGGCACCTTAATCAGACCTCCTAACTTAAATCATCAAAAGCTGAATTGACCTAAAGTTTTTTTTTTTCTATGCATAGAAAACCTTTTTTTTAACCCCAATTTTTTTTTAAAAAATTTAAAAAATACCTTCATTTAATTTTTTTTTTAAAATTTAATTTTTTTATAATTTATTTTTTTAATTTATTTTTTTATATTTTTTTTTTTTTATATAAACTAAAAACTATAAAATTTAAATATTAATTTTTTTTTTATTATTTATTATTTATATTTAGAACAACCACCCTCATTTGTTAAGCTTTTAATATCCAATTAGGGATGTTATAATCAAAACTTTAAATCATTCTTTAAAATAATAAAAAATCAAATTATAGGTAAGTTTTTTTATTTATTTGTTACTATTTCTTTTCTTTAGTAAAACCACTTTATAAAGAATTTCATCATGATGTTTAGGGATAAAGAACACTTTCAACAATTTCTGATAACAAATATAATTACCAAAATCTGATCGGATAAAAAACTGTTGGAAGAGCAAAAAGGTTATAATTTTAGAAAAATAGTTTATGATAACCAGTTATTTTGCCCCTATTTAGATATGTAGCTATTAGAAGAAGAACATGGAAAAGATAGCTATGACAATTAGTATTCATACGCCACATCAAAACAATAACAACAGTAATAATTCTATGTTAAAATAAAAAATAATAAAAATATTTATCTATTGCAGTGCCCTGGTCTAAATATTTAGACCCCCATTGGTTGGAACTTTGTTATCAATTGACAAGGAAGGTTAAACAGTGCATATAAAGTCAACTACAAACATTACAATCAGTCTGGTATTATTAAATTTCACTTGCATCAATCTCCTCAAGTGTGAGTCTATAAGAAACTACTGGAGGAATTGATAAATGATGAAATTTAATCATATTTTACTGATTGTAATGTTTGAAGGATAGGTTATTGTTTTGATCAGATTTTAACGGTAATACAATGCTTATTGGTTTCTTGTATTGTTGTGATAACAGAGACTGTTTACAGTAGAGCCAGAGTCAGTGGTAACCAAGTCCCCAAAGTTTTAAAAACCAAACCTCTACAAGTTTTAAAAGTGAAAGGTTACAGATATTCATAATATTAATCATATATAAATATAGTTAATTTTATATATGTATCCGTTTATAAAAAGTTTAAAAAAAAAAATATTTTTTTTATAATTACAAAAGAATAGGTTTAAAAAATTCAATAAATATAGGTTTAAAAGTTAAAACGTAGAATACAATTGTCTAGAATTGCAAATTGAAAGAAATAATTTATTCAACAACTAAGTGTTTTCCCTTATTCTGCAATATAAACCAATAAATACCCTTTGCAACTTCAAAGTGGAATTGATTAAAATAAATAATTATTAATTAAAAAAACAATTTAATTAAAAAATAATAAAAATAATCTAAATTATTTGAAAGTAGAGAGCTGTGTTAATTTTATTATATTTATCTTTTTAATGAATTTTTGAAAAAAAAATAATTTTTTTTTGAATATATGCACACAGTTTATCCTTTTTTTTTTTTATTTTCCAAATTTACTTAATTATTTTTTTAAACACCAAAAAAAAAAAATTTCATAATATTACTAAAATTATAGTTTTTTGTAATTTTCATTTTTAGCTTGTGTGGGTGTTTTATTTTTTTTTTTTGATATTAAATTTTTCATATGAATTAAAACAATAAAAACTTTTCTGTGTGTCCTTTCAAAATTTTACTTCCAAAGCTTTTAAATATTAACACATATATTTTATTGAAAAAATTATAAAAAAAAAAAAATTAAAATATTAAGTTGAAATTATTATTTATTATTTTTATTTTATTAAAAATAAAAATTTTTATTATTTTTTGTTTTGTTTTATTTATCAAATAAAAAAGTAATTCTATATTTTTATATATTATTAAAAAAAAATTAAAAAAGAAAATGGAAAATGAAATTAAAAATCAACAAAAAGAATTAATTCAATATCATAAAATTCAATCAATTAAAGAACAAATAAAAGAAATGGAATTAAATTTATTATTATTTTATAAAAATGGAAATATGGATAAAACTAGTAACTCAACCATTACGGAATCAATAAAATCAATAAAAAAATGTATAATAATATTAGAAGAAAATAATTTATTAAAAAAAAATTAATTTTTTTTTTTCCATAATTTATAAATAAAGAAAATTCTTTTTTAATTATTTTTTTTAAACCTAAAATAATGTATTTTTTTATGATTTTTTTTAACCCCTAATCCAAAAAAAAAAAAAGTGTGAGATAAAATTTTATGCTTTAAAAAAAAATTATAATAACTTTATTTAAATTTTTTAAAAAAATAGATTTAATTTAGCGGAATAACAATAATTCTAACCCAGCTATTTATATATTTAACATTTGGTGTAATTTCTGTAATTGTATTTGTAGTGTTTCTAATTTAGTATGATCCTCTTTAGTATAAGTGGCTTTGGCTTTTTTTTTTTTTTTTTTTTTTTTCTTTTTCTTTTTCTTTTTCTCTGTTTTATTATTTTGCTGTTTTTTATTATGATTGATAAAATATGACAATTATTATTATTTATTTATATTATTTATTATTTTTAAATTATTTTCTAAAAAAATTAAAGTTAAATTTTCAAAATTTAAACCTTTTTCTTTCTATTAATTA